CCCTACGATTCCGGATCGTAGATTTTGTCGAGTTCCGCGAGGATCTCTTTTGCGGTCTCGCATTTGTTCACGATCGCCTTGTCGGCTTCTCTGACGATGGCAGTGGCCACAAAATGGAACGCTTGGAGGCCTCTCTGGACCTCGTCGCTGGTGTATTGGAGGCGGTACAGCTCCGAGCTTGGCACGTTTGGGTTGCCGANGATAAGCGATTTTCTCCACGAGTCATACCCATGGCCGCGACTCTCCCCTTCGAGACGCGGGGCATTGACTGTTACTCACTTCATGTGGCGTCGAGAAATTCGCCATTTCCTCGAATCACGGGTATCTCACCTGGGGGGTTTAACCCCCTCGCTTCCCCGTAGTCCGGTCCTATGCCCGGGCCCACTCCGGCTGGTCCAACAGGGTTCGCTCCCGATCTGCTGGCCCAGCCGCCTTCCAGCAGCGACCGTGGTCCTTGCCCACTATCTCTCGTTTGCTGCTGGAGAAATCCCCCGCCACCGCCGAGCGGCAGCGTGGGCTCTTCTCGTTGGCCTCTGGGGGCAGCAACCCAGCCACCCCTACTGGCTGCATCCGCCACGACGCTGCCAGGCTCTTTCTTCTTCGCCAACTCCTCCACCAGGGCCGCCAATTGCGAAATCTGCATTTGCAAACTTGTAAGCTTTGCATCGCGGCCCTCCTGCACCGGCGGGCAGATCTGTTCTCCGCTCGCAGCAGTGCGCTCTTCGTCTCCAGCAGAGCTCATCCCAATGTGGCTTCCCTCGAGGGGCAAAAACAACTCTAGAGTGTTTGCGGCCTACTCCACATTNTCTCTCGCTTGCTGCTGGAGAAATCCCCCGCCTCCGCCGTGCGGCTGCAGAGGCTCTTGGCTTGCGGGGGCAGCAACCCAGCCGCCGCTACTGGCTGCATCCGCCACGACGCTGCCAGGCTCTTTCTTCTTCGCCAACTCCTCCACCAGGGCCGCCAATTGCGAAATCTGCATTTGCAAACTTGTAAGCTTTGCATCGCGGCCCTCCTGCACCGGCGGGCAGATCTGTTCTCCGCTCGCAGCAGTGCGCTCTTCGTCTCCAGCAGAGCTCATCCCAATGTGGCTTCCCTCGAGGGGCAAAAACAACTCTAGAGTGTTTGCGGCCTACTCCACATTTTTATCGGGTGAGACTGTTTCGGTGATGTATTAACTTCACGAGAGGTCGACGACCGTCCTTCACACGGACGAAAGAGGGGGTGCTTAAGGAGCGGCTCCCACAGCAAGAAGGGGCCCCGTAAATCATCGCGGTGCTCCCTACCAAACGGCAATCTTACCAGTCTGCGTGACACCAAATCATCCAGCACATGTATCCAACACCAATGTTCGCAGACCCACGAACATGACGAACGCTTCCTCAGTGGAAGTTGCTTTCATGGAAGCTGCCGTGCTTCCATGAAATTCGGGGATATATTGTAGGGAAGCACTTCATTCTATTGAACTTGTGGCTTCACAGCTCTTCGCGCTTTTGTGGAAAAGAAAAATGCGGCTTCCACGGAAGCAACCACTCACGGCTTGCATGGAAAATACTCAACGTTCATCCAAATTTCCGCAACTTCCATGGCAGGCAGTCGTATGGAAGCAGGGGGCGGAAACCAACACGCAGTTTCCATGCCGCTTCCATCGGAGTCGAGCGGCTTCCATCAAGTCTCATCTACTTCCTTGGAAACGTCACACGCTTCCATGGACGTGAACAGCTTCCATGGAAGGAAGTCGATACTAACTTCCATGGAACTTGTATGCATACTGCATGCCAAGTAGTGCTGGTTACCGGCGTGACCGAGTCATGACTGGGTCACAACTCGGTCACGACATATTATATGCTTCGGCAGGAATATGAAACTTGCTAGAAACCCTAACGCTAACCCTAATCCTATCCCCGAACCCACGTGATAGGTGCTACGGTAGGTTGATACACCGGCACGAGCGTTGCGGTGGTGTTGATGGAATAACGTCTAGGTGGTTGTGCCGGCATAGGCGCTAGGTTGGTGTTGATCCTATACATCTAGATTGACCATCGGGTGGTGGTTGGCTCAGGATGGAGTGATATCATGATCATCTCTCGATGATGATCCACTCATCGTGACCCGGTCATGACACGATCACGACTCGGTATCATTAAACAACATATTCGCACGATTGAGAGCGAAGTATCTGATTGAGAGCGAGATCGTGCGATACGATGTAGCTTGTCTACTGCTGAGAGGTAGAGCTTGCTGTGCCGCTTGAATTGAAGGGCTTGCCCATAGCTACAAGCCGATACCCGGGTCATCCTGCGGGTGTCTCGCGTTGTGGAGCTACACCGCGGAGCAGAAGCTACGGGAGGGCCTACCGCGCCAGGCGACGGCGCCCTGAAACAGTTTCGGGCAGGAATAGCCAATCTGGGGAAATCTAGCAACGTGCGTAGCTCCTCGCTGCTGCAGCCGATCGCAGTGACACGCATATGCACGCGAAGCTGCTGAAGAGAGCTTCAATTTGCGCCGCTTTTTGGAAGAGCCCGTCCCCTGCTTCCCGAGAAATGACAGGAGGCGTCTGGACCCGAATTTCGATTTTTTTTGGTTCTCGCTCTCAATCGGAAACTCCGCTCTCAATCGTGCGAAAACCCTGTTATTACTCGTCTGGCCGAATATTCCCTCGGAACTGAGAAACAACAAACTTAGTAAGTCGCGATCCGGTCGTGACTCGTTCACGATCCGATCATGATCGCGTCACGAAACCGAGTCACAACCGAAACCATGATCCGGGTCATGGGTCGGTCATGAACCGATCATGATCGCGATTACGAGCTGACCCGACAAGGTAACTCATTGGCCAGGAACGCCACGCGGGCGAAAACCCCAAATGTTCGCCACACAGGGCTTTCGGTTTGATTCGAATAATTACACAGCAAGATACACGATCTGCAGGATGTGACAGCTCGTTAAGTTATATGGAACACCCGCTGGAAGAAAACCACGACTTCGGCGATTCCTTCGACCCTAGCAGGGAATAGAGCCTCGACCCCGAGGTTGAAGTTCTGCTAGAGGCCCGCATTGCTGTGTGCCTTCCTTGTTGCACCATTTCGATTGGCGGATTCTTCTAACTAAGCGTTTTTCACCGTAGTAGCAGTAGATTCTCGTCTTCCACCCGAATGAATTTAGACGAATGACAAATGCGTCACAGCAGGAGGCGGTAAGGCTGTGCGTGGCACAGAACCACTGACTGCGGAGCGTCCTGAGCCGCAAGCCAAAGCTCCAATGGCACAGGGGGGTCGGTCTTCGACTGTGCAGTGGCGCAAACGCTTCGCACGAACGATAACCAATGGCTGCGGTTCCTTCCTACTTTGCCAAAGGTGGAGAGGGGGGAAAAGACCTCAGGGGTTGGGACTGCCGTGCGCTCACTGAAAACGCGATGGCAACCTACGGCTACGACGATAAGAAAACGCACGCACGATCCTCGATTGGAGGACGATTGTTGGCAGCCTCATATTTTCGCGCCATCGAACTGTTGACTGTCCCCCGTGCGTTGGAGCTGGTCGCTCTGCACGCTCCACCGGCAGTGTTCCTGGCACATGCATAGAGTCCGGCCCCTGTGTCTGTTGGTAACGTTTTCAACACCCACGACCCCATTGTCATTGAATTCGTCGAAGCCCATATCCCCCTACTAAAATTCCTAAATAGTTGTGATGTAGACTAGTT